ATTGCTTGAGGAAAATTTTGCATACGTTATTGAGACTATTGCATAAAGGAGATTTGGGATCGTATCGCACCAGGTTTTTTAGGAATGTCTGAGGTTCTCTCGCACCGGATTTTTTAGGGATGTCTGAGGTTCTCTTGACCTATATCCTTCTCAGTTGTGTTTGCTGCATAAGACTTATTTTGTACGATTCACATTTTATGTGTCATTTGCGAGCTATTACACGTAATGATATTATTTATTAAAAAAAATTGAAAACATAAAGTGCTCGACAACTATTCATCATTTTAAAAAAAAAATCAAAATTCTTCATAGTCTATCATCATTTCTTCTTTCAATCTTTTTGTTGATTGGTTGAATTTGCAATAAGATTTTATGGTTTTCCATAAAATCAAATGAGCAATGTAATTATGTGCTAGCCACGTTTATTTATTGGGATCACGTCTTTATAATATGCTCTCTTTAATTAAATCATTATGCATGATTAGGATTTTTTTATTTTATTTTTAGTGATTGAAATGTTATGCACATATTAATTGGTTTCAAATAATAATGTGAGTCATGCAACTTTAATTTACATCTACATTTCATGTGTGCCAACTCAACCAACCCCTTCTTTAAAACTCATATAGAGTTGATAATCTCCTACTTGTAATTTATAACATCAAAGTCGAATTTTTTTTAAAATTAAATCTTGTAGGAAAAAATTGACTCAACTATGCCTATATATCAAGGATTAAAAAAAAGTACCAAAAAATGCCAAGTTTGTTAAATAAAACCCAAGTAAACAAACTACTACCTCCATCCACTTTTAAATGTCATAATTTCTTTTTTTAGAATCAAACGATAATAACTTTGACTAACATTTTTGTATTTTTTCATCATATTGATATGCAAAAAATTGGAATTTATAGTACTTTTCGTGTAGTTTTTGAATATATCAATTTTTGGTTTAAAATATCAAATTAATGTAATATAATTTAACTTTGAAAAAGTTAGTTAAATTGACTTTCGAAAAGCGCAACATGACAATTAAAAGCGGACAGAGGGAGTACTAGTTTTACGACTCACGTACGACTAATCACTTTATATATTATTCCCGCGATGTGACTCAAGAAAACATTTTCAAAATTGAACAATTTTTCATGGACGAGAGTGAGTTGCTCGGACGGTAAGCACCCCTCACTTCCTACTCGGAGGTTATCAGTTCAACTCACCAATGGAGCGAAAAGGTGGAAGCTCCGAGGGATAAGAAAAAAGGAAAGGAACAATTTCTCATGTTTTTTTTTAATTTCTTTTTATATAAGCATAATTGAGTTAAAACCAATAGGTTATTGATGTGGACCTTATGATAATTAAAATACATATGCATCAATAGAAAAATATTGAAAAAGTTACAATGATTTTATAAAAGTGCATTAAGTGGTGCATTAAAAAAATAATTAGAATCGTAGCGTAGAAATTGTCTATCTAAAATGCCAGCCAAAAGTTTTAAACATCATTTTATATCAGGGCACCAACCTCCTAAATAAAGAAGATATTGTATTTATTCTTGTTTTTTTTTATTTCTTAAATAACCTCTTCCTAAAAAAAATTAAGCTGAAAGTAGGTCCATCATAAAGTTTTTTTTTTCTTAGCTAGCCAGCTACTCATAAATTATTTATAACTTTATTTTATACATCTTTGGTTTTATATTAGTTGTCAAGGTTACTACAAATATTTATTTTAATTTACTAATTGTCATTATAAAATCAAAATGGAATTAATTACTCTTTTGTTTTCTTTAACTTGGAACGTTTTGCTTTTTAAGAGTGAAAATCAGACCGTTACCACCAGGCTGAAAATTCATGTAGTCAATTAGGGGTTCTGCCAACAAGCTAGGAGGTTATTCTCTTCGGCGGAAAATTACACTATTTATATATGGTTAAAATTATTTTTATGTATATATAATAGAAGATGCACCCCTTCGACTAGTTCATATGTTACTTCTTCATATTTTGAATTCCTTTCATAAAAATCTTGATTCCGCCACTAGAACCAACCAGCGAAGCTACTAAGATTTTGTACCGAAATATCTGCTTCTCTCCGAAAAAAAGGGGTAGGACATAAAATATTTATTGAATTATAAGTCCCTTACTACTATTTGGTTGTAGAAAATATTTTCAATAAAAATCATTTTCACCAAAAGGGAATATCCTTTCAAGTTATTTTATTTCAATTATTAGTTTTTTATATATCACAACTCCAACCATAACCTATATTTCAATATGCAATACTCCGTACCTAATCATACCGTCGAAGCACTACTTGATTTTCTAACATTTATCAATTTTAATAATTATATTCTACAAATCGATCGAGCACCATATAGATTCTTCTTTCGATTAAATTAAATATCATGTTATCTAGTTACTATGAAAAGTGAAATCGAGTTTAGGTAAAAATCAATTAGCAAAGGATTGAATGGATTAAGGGACTAATTAATATAACTTCAATTAATAGAATCAGTCCAAGAATATGAAAGTTCGTATTTTTGTAGGTAAAATTTTTAGTATTGAAAAATACTAAGTCAATATAATAGAAATTATTGTTATAATACGTACCATACACGACGTAAGAGTAATCCTAGATAATTAATTAGCCATTTAATTAGTCATACTTTCTAGAAGTAATTGGAAAATTAAGCTTCTACTTGGAGATTACTATTAAGACTTTTAGATTCTGAAAACACTTTCAACGTAATTCAATAATTTACCGCCTAAAGAAAAACATAATTTTCGTCACAAAAAGCAAAATGCTGAAATCACCAAAAAAAAGAATATTCAAAATTATACATTATACAACTTAGTTATTTGTTAATAAAAACTCGTTTTGCTTGTTGGCTATATTTTTTTTCTGATTTCGCGCAATGAAACTGAAAAGGTTATTTATAAATAATTTTCTACTTCTTACCTTTTAACTTATTGTAGGAGATGATGAGAGATGCTATCTCAAGCCATATTAAAACAAAATTGTCATGGTTGTGTTATTCACACAAAACATTATAAATGGTATTGTCATGGGTCGTCCATGTGGATCCGACCTGATCTGACCCGATCCAGTCCAACCCCATAAAGTTTCTGAAATAAAGATAAATACAATTTTTTTTAAAAAGAAGTGGAAACAGTTACGGGGTAACTGTTGAACCACTTTTACTCCCTATTCTCCCTATTCTAAAGTTGTGTTTCACTCTTATCGGAGGCAAGGAAAAAAAAGACAAATAAGAGAAAGAATGCAGAAACAAAAAAAAAATAGGTTGAAAGAGGAAATCAAATTTCACTTCTACCACAAATCAACACTTAGTTTGGCTTGGAGCAATTCTTCAAAAAAAAGGATTTCGTTGATCTTCCGTTGTTGATAACTGATACACAAATCTTGTTCTATTACGAAAGTATAACAAACAAGAGTGAATATCACTGCTCATAGTCCCTCTCTTGTTTGTGTATTCGTGGTACAACTTTATCGTAGTACTCATGATATACATGATTTATATTCATGTATATTAGTTCAAATAAGTGAGTGTTTTCAACTTTTTCATGTATATTTTTAATATCTTTTTGTATATCTACACACAAATGTAAATAGGTATATTTGTGTACTTTGGAACTTAAAATCAAGAAATACATACTTTCAAGTTGATTATGTAAGATGTTGTTATTGTTATTTTAATATATAAAACGTAATTAGAGTATGCAAAAATTCCTTAAGCAATTTATTGAGATATCAAGTAATGCGGGCCTCTGAGCCCATGGAGAATGACCGTTCAATGTCATAAAACCATCGCGATGATTTCAAATATATACAATAAAATAAAATAATTATTTTATAATAAATATAGTTATGTTTTATTTACATAAAAATAGCCAAAAGTCATATATAGCTTCAACACCGACTATATAAATAACTTATTTATACATGAGTTATATAGTGATTATACATTATAATACAGTCAGAAAGGTGAATATAGTTTAAACTACACATGAAGTACTCACTGACAACTCAATTCCGACCAACTCAAAATCTCCTCTAACAATGCCAAATTTTAGATATGAAATTCTCGCGATGTTTCAAGTCTTTCGATATATAATTCGCTCAAAACTATTCATATTTTTAGTACGACAAATTTTAAAGAAGAAGGAAGTGGAGGAGGACACATAACAAGAAGGAGGAGAAGGAGGACGAAGAAGACACAGAAGAAGAAAAAAGAAAGGCTACGTGGCCATTTTTCAGATAGACTATTTTCGATAGACCTCCAACTCAAGTAAATCATATAAATAATCAACCGTATAAAATAAATAGAGTCAAAGAGAGCTAGCAAAAAATAAAAAATAATAAAGTAGCAAAAACAACCAAATAATAATAACAATACTGGAAAAAAACACTAGATTACATGTTATGGACCAAGTCCAACCCAATACGAATACCAAGGTCACACAAGTAGTTATTGGGCTGGAAAGAGCTATTGGGCCGAGAACAAGCAATAGGGCCAGGTTAATTTGGGATCCGGGTTGAATAGTGGATGTGAGAATGGTTCCATCAAAGGGGCAGCGGTCACTGATTTAGGGATTATGCATATTGAAGAAAATGTTTGTCCTCTCCTCTTCTTCTAGAGTCTAAGCTTCTCATCTCCATTTTTCTTCTATCTTTAACTACTCGTTATTTCAATATTTCATTTGTAATTCAATAGTTTAATTATTGCAATTAGAATCTTAAGATTGTAATCGTATTCCAATGCTCTTATTAATATAGTGAGGATTTCGGGTTGTTACATTACAACACTTGGTATACTAACCTTTATTATAAGTTACATTAATAATAGCTAGTGCCCACATACAACATAAAACTCAATTAGTATCTGATCATGAATTATCCTAAACACTATGCTAATTGTACACAATGAGATTGAAGCTCCTAAATCCCTCCTTGCCAAAAAGGATTCTTTCTTGCATGTGAGACACATACGATACACGAACAATAATTATTTTATACGAACAATAAGTTATTTTCATCGGTAAACATACATTAATTATTATTTTTTGTTTCCGAGACCTCTAATTAAGCTGGAGAACAAGCGTGTTGGATTCTTGAATTTGGTGTTGAGGATTGTTTCTCCAAGATTGATTCTTCCTTTGATCCATTCTCTGCCTTTTCAATATCTTCAATATTTGAAGTTTTCATATTTTGTTCTTTAGATTTTCCCCAAAGTACACAGTATAGACCACCAACCAACAATATCCCTCCTAAAATGCTGCAAGAAATGAAACATGCAAAAAAACAAGTGCATCAATAACTAATTTTAGAGTATGTTTGAGTTAACTGATAGTAAATAATTGATAAAGTGTTAACTGTTAAAATCATATATGTTTGAGTTAGCTAATCGTAAATGATAGAGTGTTAAGTGCTAAAATCAATTTATAAATAAATAATTATGTGTGTTGAATAAAGTGATGAAACTGATAATAATAAATAGTAGACATGTTTGGTAAAAAAAAAAAGTTAAGTTGTTCTTTTAGTAAAATGATGACTAGATTGTTTACAAAATTAAAAAGTATCTTTATAAGAAAAAAGATAGAACAACAAATATGTAACACAGAGGATGCCAAAGATTTTGTTTTGGAAAAGGTATTTTGAGAATTTTTCAAAAAATTATTAAGCATAAAATAGTAATTTTATTTTTGTCAAATTAGAAATTTTTACAAATTGAAAAAATCATAAGTTGAGAGACCACCTTATGGCTTCTGAGTGATTTTGACTTACGAACACTCAATTTGTAAGTACTTTTGAATATTTATCAAAACAAAAACAAGTTAAAAAGTTCTTTTAAGTCAATCTAACTAGCTTATAAGTTTACTTAAGCATCCTCTTACAAAATTTGACCAACTTAGTTTTCATATTAATATATATATATTTTTTAAAAGTAAGAATATTACCTTCCCAAACTAATGATCTCTCCAAAAAGCACAGCAGAAGCAGCAATTGTAAAAATTAAGGCCAAAGGTGTAGTCATAGCCATATAAACTGGACCTTTCTTTTCAACAACCCAAGCTTGTAAATAAAATGTAACTCCAGTCACAACTATTCCCTGCCAAAAAAAATCAAAAAATAAATTAGCAAATTTAAAAATAATAATAAACTTAACCTATAAGTATTCTAACTAATTAAGACTACCATTAAAAAAAGGTTATGGATGACAAAAGGTATTATCTAAAGTTTTGCAAGAAAATGACAATCTTTTGTGCCAAACAGTAAAGTATTTCCATCAAAGGTTCATTTATTTTCTATGTTTCAGTTTATATGACGGTTTTCGTTTTCTGTGATTTAAATTATGTAAATTATGATCAATATTTAAAAATATATATTCCCTACGTATGTTTAAAAAAATGACAATTTTTTTTTTAGTCTGTTTGAAAAAGAATAATTCTTTCCTTCTTTTTTTTTTACAACACTTTAATTTCAGTTTTCCACGTGACAACTGGCATGTTTAAGACCACAAGTTTAAAAGGTATTTTGGTATATTTGGCACAACTTTAATTTAAGATCACAAGATTGAAAAATCTTCTTTATTTTTTTAAACTTCATGTCAAATCAGATTGTCATTCTTTTTAAAACGAAGGAAGTATATATATATTTTATCATATTGACATGAGAAAAATCGTAATATATAATACTTATGGTATAGCTTTTATAAGATTAAGTTGATATAAATCAATTTAACTTCAATAATTAGTCAAGTTTATTCTCGAAATACGCATCTTTCTTGTGATAATACAACATTATCTAGTTAACATTCTAATAATGGAAACATCTTTTATTTCTTCCTCTTTATCTTTTATAACTTTTGTACTTGCTTTGTATCCTTTCATTTATCACTTTTAATTATCTTTTCAAGTATGAAAAACATAAAATGATAAAGTTAGGTAAAAAAATTTGACTTACACAATAGGCAACAGAGAGGAGTCTAACATTCCATCCAAGTCTCCATTCAGAAGGATCTCTTGCTAAAGCTATGGCAAAAACAAATGATTGAATACTACTCATGAAGCATTGTAGAGTTGTACATAGTAGCTTTGATGGGTAACTCTTGAGAACTTGGTTCTACAAAAGATAATAACACAAACAATTAATTAACTATCAGTATTTCGGGTCGAAACACTCTATTATAGAGATGATTTTACCAATGATATAAGTATCATGAAAGTTACTTGACTTTATATAAATATCATGAAAGTTACCAAAATATTTTTATTTTTTTAAAAAACTAAAATAAAGTCACTCAATTAGCTGTGCTTTATATGGTCCTACTTCCTTTTTAGTTTGTTCCAAATATAGCACTTTTAATTAATTACAAAATCTAACAACACTTTACCAAATATAGCAAATGTAAGAGAAACAAGATTCTTTTCTTTTAAATCTCGATGTATAAATATGATGTATATATGTTATTTGTATGTTCAATAACTACATCAAAAATGATCTTTAGCAACAATAACTTAATTGCCGTTAAATATGTGTTTTTAGACGCAATTAACACTCTTTATAAATGTCTCGAAAGCCTATAGCAGCATTGGATCCAATGACAATTAACTATTGCTGGTAAAAGCTTTATTATTCTTTGTTAATGTGTATATTTCTTATCGCTATTGTAGTAAAATGAATTACTAGACATAAAGTAATATAGACACTACATACAATAACAATAAGAATATATAAGAATATACCTGCATGACAAGCCAAGTAGCCCATAATGCATTAGCAAGCAACATAAGGAATACACCTTTGATCCATGTATTGCCAGAAGCAGCACTGTTTTGCACTTGACCATGATAGCTAAATAGATGATGATGCATCAAAAGTTTCATTGTTGGACCCTTAAAAAATGCTATTGTTAATGCTCCTCCTGCACAAAACACTATGCCCATAACCTTTGCTATCCCTCCCCATGTCCTCATTTTCACACTCTCCATCCTATTTGTGTTAATGTCATCAAAGCAAAATATAACATTACTATACAAAATTGATAAGACATTTATGGATGACCACTACTTAGATAAGGAACATAAGTGAGTGGACTACGTAACATACTTTACTATTTCACTAAAACAAGGAAGTACTATAGTGTCTAGTTAAAGCAACAAAAAGAAAGGGCTAAGTTACACATTTGACCGGTCGACAAAAAATAATTTCTAGTCAAATATACAAAAAAAGATACGCCTATTATGTACTTTCTTCATTTGAGTTTGTTTGTTCTGCTTTCGGTTTTAGTCCGTTAAAAAAAGAATGTCACTTTTTATTTTTGGAAACTCTTTAATTTCAACTTTCCACCTAACATATTTAAGACCATAAAGATTAAATGACATTTTTGATACATTTGACTTAACTTTATTTTAATACCGCAAGATTTTAAAGTCTTATTTATTTTATTAAATTTTGTGTCAAATTAAAACAAAATAA